TCGAACCCGCGGGCTCAGGCAATCCACTTACCTCAGCCTCCCAAAGGCGCGGGATTACAGGCTGAGCCACTGAGCCCGGCTCAATACTCTATCCTTAACTAACCTAGTTGGGAGAAGGACCTTGAAAAAGTCCAAGAAGGAATGTTTGCCATATCCCATACTAAGTATTTGTTTTTTCTCTTTTTCCAGGAAATATTCATATGTTTTCAAACATGACAGATGACACACACTATTACCATCGGCACAACCGCCATGAGAGGACACAGCCACGGATGGAAGAGGAAGAAGATAAACCTCAGGTACCCTAGAAGGAGAGAGCTGCTGCTCATAGACAGTTGTACTGTGCCTGCCTTCTTGGTGTATGGTCAGGCTTTAGAAGTTAAACTTGATATGTTGCTAAAATGTGCTTTAGGAAAGTAGAGGCAATGGTAGGAAGAGTCGGATCAATTGGCCAGCTCTAGTACCCTCCCGACCATTTTTGGTAGTTCTCCCAGGAGCTCACCCCTGGGGGGCTATCTTGATTGAGGTTTTCTTGACTGCTGAAAATAGAACCCCCTTCAGAATATCAGAATTGGAGAGGGTTTCAAAGGACTCAAGGGAGTCTCATGACACTCCAGGGCAAGGAGCACAGCGGGGCCTCATAACAGACAGGAATGGGAACTGGGGCAATGTCAGGCTCCTAAGCAGCTGTGTTCTCCATGACTCTTGGGGACCAGATTGTCTCCAGTTTTTCTGCCACTCTTTGCCTCTGTTTTGATATCTCTGAATAGTCTGGCTTGTTCCACTTCCCCTCGCAAATGGCTAGTCCACAGCACCTGAGAGTATGTCCTTTCTTAATGTGATGACCTCACAGTGAAGGGCGATAAATCTCAATCCCAAATTCCTGGAAGGGAAAATGTGATTAGCTATGCTAGAGCTAGATGTCCCCCCAGTCCAACCAACTGTGGCCAAGGTTCATGATGCTAATGTGGCTCCTAGAGCCCCACTCCTGTGAGAGCCACAGTCTGGGCAGACCCACCTCTACTTCAATGGTCTTAGAAAGGAGGAGTGCAGGAGGATTACTGGTGTCAATCAGGTTATGGGCAGGCCTCCTTCAGCCTGCTCAACAGAGAGAATAAGGGTTGTTTGAGTATCCCAAATCTGAAATGCTTGGGGCCAGAAGTTTCTAGATTTGAAATTTTTCCAGATTTTGGAATATTTACATTATAATTAGTGGCTGAGCATTCCTAATATGAAAATCTGAAATGCTCTAATGAACATTTTCTTTGAGTGTGATATTGGCATTCAAAAAGTGTCAGATTGTTCAAGACCCGCCTGGGCAACTTGGCAAGACCTCATCTCTACAATAAATAAAAAATCAGCTGGGCGTGGTAGCGCGGGCCTGTAGTTCCAGCTACTGGGAAGGCTGAGGCGGAAGGATCGCCGGAGCCCAACAGGTCAAGGCTGCGGTGGCTGGGAGCGGCCACTGCACTCCAGTCTGGGGGACAGAGTGAGATTCCAACCCCCCCCCCAAAAAAAGGCCTGGCTCGGTGGCTCAGCCTGTAATCCCACGCCTTTGGGAGGCTGAGGTGAGTGGATTGCCTGAGCCCGCAGGTTCGAGACCCA